CACTCGTGGGCTTAACTCTGCAGAGGGCTGCGGGGTGCTGCTGATGGGTGCCTCGGCATCTGCAGAGGGTTTTGCTGGGGGCTCCTGCTTGTGCTGTGCTGGTCGGATGGGTCCCGGTGCTCCGGCAGTGAGGGGAAGCAGAAGGCCGACAGTGACGCCATGAAAGCGGGGAGGAAGCTCCGGCCGCAGGAGGGGATTTCCAGAACATTGCGATCTGCTGCCTATGCAAATCAGGAACTCAAATTAAACGGGCAGGATGGGAGGGCTCTGGGATGGAGGGCAAGGGAGAGGCCGGGGAGGGAGCCCAGGAGACTGGGCTGCGGGGAGGGGGCAGGAGGGAGCGTGGAAGGGGTCGGGTGGGCGAGGGGTCAGCAGAGGGGCGGCGAAGGGAGGCACTGGGGTCTCGCTCCCCCAGACCTCCCGCAGCGCCCTGCCTTCGCGGGGGTCGGAGTCGCAGCGTGGCTTTCCAGGGATGCCGGGCTGCTTTTGCTTTGCTGGGTTTACCCTCTCGCTGAACGTGAGCTCTCTTCTCCCTCTGCCTCTGGCATGTGAGGCAAGGCTCAGTGTCACCCGATTCGCGGGAGGAGATCACCACCTCCTGCCTTCCTCCACAGCCTCACCATCCTCCCCCTCCCTCCTCCACAGTCAGCAGGGGCTGGGTTATGGTGGGACCTGGTGCAGCCCCACAGTGGACATGCCAAGAGCTGTGGGAACTGGGTCTGGGAGTGCTCAGAGGATTTCCTGGTGTGCTTTAAGCTTTGAATTATTCAGAGTTCCAATTCACAAGATCAACAACAGGCACAGAGGGGATTTTCCCCTCTTCCTCTCTCCCTGGGCCATGTCTCATGCAACTGCAATGCCTGAGAAAAGGGCTCATCGGCAGTCATCACGTCCTGGAAAGCCGGCTCCAGGGATGATGGCGTGGGGAGAGCGGCCTCGGCGAGCTCAGCCATTTCCCCAACCCAGACCGGGCTGCCCAGTGAGCGGCACGTGGATGTGAGGGGCAAGGCTGCTTCTTCCTCCTTTGGCTTGGGAAGAGGAAGAGCTGAAGAAGAAAACTCTGCCGGCTCCCAAGCCTCCAGGCTGGGTTTCTCCCCTCTGGGGGAATGGGAGGGCAGCGGGTGGGATGGAAGTGTCTCGCTGATGGTGCGGCGTTGGGCCAGGGACCGAGACCCATGTGTCTCTGCACCAGACACGGCTCCTCCCAGGGTCTGGTAGTGAAGAGGATCTCCAGCGGCCCTCAGAGCTGACTCAGAGCGAGAGGTCCGACCCTCTGTACACCAAACACGGCCTCGAGGGGTTTTCTGGATGTCGCAACCTGTGAAATCTGGCGTTGGCTTTGCCTGGAAGCGAGTCCTTGCCCCCGGCATTGCTGGTCAATGTCCAAAGCAGCCGTGTGCTGGGTGCTGGTGTGTAAATCCCTGGTCCTGGCAGCAGCTTCTCTACAGTGGCCCTGAAGGCTGAGGCGTGGGTGGCTGGTGCTGACCCACGCTGCTTACAGCCTTCTAATTCTTTGCCTTTTTCATGCCCATTATTTTGTCCTCCCTTTTCCTTACCTTGCCTTCCTTGAACCGCTTGCCTCCTTGTTGATCACAGAGGCAAGGCATGAGGTTTGTCACCAGTTGCCCTCGGACTGGGCTGGCTGGAGCCAGCGGATGGAGCGGAGGTGTTCCTGGAGGGCGGTGCTGTGACGTGTATTTTCTCTGGAGACCGGGATGCTGCAGGGATGAAGCTGCTTTGTCTGAAGGGTCTGTGACCTGCCCATGTATAGAGGGTTCCATGGGCAAAACAGTGCTCACTTGGGGAATTTTTATTTAATTTATTGTCAGTTAACACAAATTGCTAGTGAGTGATTTAGGTATTAAACAAAACAAGTGTTCTTCCTTTCCCAGGCTTGTCTTAGGGCAATTGTTTTCTTTCCCCATCCTAGTCTCAGTGTTCCTTGTTCCACTGCAGGTGACATTCATTCTGTCCCAAATCCTTTGGCAAGGTGACAGCTCACGTGTAACCTTCTGGCTGCCACCTCTCCATGCTTCTTACTGCACTTCTTCCACTCGGTGCTTCCCCATGTGCCAGGGTCCACAGCCTGTCTTGGTGCTGCTGGTCCCAGGCTCCTCTTGGTTTGCTTGGAGTCCTTCCAAAGTAACACCTCTGCCCAGTGCCTCCTCCTTCCTCCTGGCTGCTTTTAACAGAGCATCTCATTTCTCTGAGCCTGGTGCAGAGTCCTCAGGCTCTCCAGCAAGCGAAGGGAGAAGGAGTTTAATTCGGTCAGCAACGGAGATGCGTTTACTGCAATGCATGACACCAGACAGGAGCAGGTCACCAAACAGGAGCAGGTCTCCGGACAGGAGCTGGCTGCAAATTCATCATCTTCTGCAAGAAGGCATCAGGATGAGAAACGGGGAGAAAATGCCCCAGGTGTAGAGTCAGTCCCAGAGGCCATGCTTGTGCTTCCCAAGATGCTGTCACCCTCCTGGCCTTGCCCTTGGGGTGGGCAGCTCTGCTGAGCTCAGTCCAGTTCGTGGTTCTCCCTCATAGGGCAGCCCACTGTGAGCAGCCCCAGTGTGCTGCCAACCCCAGCAGCGTGGGGCCAGCCACGCTGAAATATCCTGTGTTTAAATAGGGTATGGAGTGTGCTGAAGTGTTTGCAGTGATTAAAATGTTGCTGGCTGTTTTCTGCTGCAGCCGTAGCGACCGCTGCTGGAAATGGATTACTATGGAGCTGGGGCAAGACGAAGGCTTTTTGGCAGCAGGACTTCCCAGGAGAGGGAGTTGCTCCAAGGAGGAAATCCCATCTCACTCTCTGTGTAACTCTGGTATCTTGCCCTCATCATAGAAGCAGCTGGCAGTGGGTGCCAGGGAAATTCCTGGCCTTGGGACTGGTGCATTGGGGTCAGCCGGGCTTCCCAGTGGCAGCATCGCTTGGAGCCAGGCTGGGGACCGGCCCCGAGGGGCTGCCTGGCCGTGTTCCCGGTGCTGTGCAGCTCGAGGCAGCTGGGCTGTGGGTGATGGGGTCACCGGTTGCGGGCTTACAGCAATTGTGGTACAGCCAGAAGTTTCACTGGAGTGTTTACGCCTGTGCCCAGGGAATGCATCCCCCTGTGCGCACCCCCAGAGATGGTGTTTTGGCCACAAGAAGGAGGCAGGACGACAGCTCACACGTTGTGGCCCTGTGCTAATGCCGAGCAGATTTCCTCTCCTGCTCTGGAGGAGCAGAGCTGCACTGCCCCGAATCTGGCTCTCCCAGGGGTACTGGGCTGTCTCCTGAGCCCCAAAACTTCCTTGAACATTGCAGCTGGGTCCCCGAGAGCACCGTTACCAGCTACGGGGACACGGCCAGCTCTGCTCCCTGTGGTCGCTGTGCTGTGCCCGGCTCTCCCGCAGCCTCGTGCCTCTGCTGCGAAGCTGAGAGCTGTGGTGCTGAGCCTCAGGAAGAGATGGGCAGATGAAGATTGGGGTTATATCCTCCTGCAGAACATCTTCTGCAGCTGCTCAGAGCCCTCACAGCAGGTTCCCAGCCACGCGGGTGACCCACGAGCTGCTGTGGGCGTGGGGTGGCCTGGGGCCACCCCAGTGCCACCGGGACTGGGATGCCCATTCCTCGTTACACACAAGGGCAAGACAGAGGAGCCCAGATGTCTATGGGAGAGCATCACGGTTTAACCACAACCAGTAGCTAAGGACTGGACAGCCACTCGCTCACTCCTTCCTGGTGGGACGGGGGAAAGCATCGAAAGGGTAAAAGTGAGAGGACTTGTGGGCTGAGGTAAAGGCAGTTTAATAGGTAAAGCGAAAGCCGCGCACGCAAGCAAAGCAGAAGAAGGGATTCATTCCCCCCTTCCCGTGGGCAGGCAGGTGCTCAGCCGTCCCCAGGAGAGCCGGGCTCCGTCACACCTAACGGTGACTTGGGAAGGCAAACGCCACCGCTCCACACGTGCCCCCCTTCCTTCTTCTTCCTCCAGCTCGGTGCGCTGAGCACGACGCCGTGCGGCATGGCGGGTCCCTGGGGGCAGCGGGGGTCCCGGCTTCCCGCGCACCCCCAGCCCGCTCGCCGGCGGGTGAGGAGCAGGGAAGGCCTTGGCTCTGTGTAAGCACCGCTCAGCAGCAGCTCAACCAGCCCTGTGTTACCAACCCTGGTTTCAGCACAAATCCAAAACACGGCCCCATACCAGCTACTGTGAAGAAAATTACCTCCACCCCAGCCAAAACCAGCACAGAGAGAGTGAAAAAGCTTCAGCCAGGCCATTTCCCCCTGAGAAAGGTGATTTTGTTACAAGGGGATGTTTTACAGGAAGGCATCAAGGGAATTTTCAGTGGCAAAACAACCAGCTGAGTCGTTTCAGCTTCCCTGGTTTGTCTCTACATGTTACTGCTTCTCAACCTCAGCTGGTTGTGAAGTATTATAATAATACTGTGTTATTATCCCTCACGCTGCTTTGATATTTTGAAGGTGAAGCTTTCCTCACCCAGCTATTCTGAGGAAGACTTGGGCATTCAGGAGTTTTTGTTCTGACTTGGAAACAATTGAAAGTGCTGGAATTTCCCACTTTTGGAAATTCCAGTTCTTTTCTCCTGGGCACTGGGGGGAAGTGCAAACAAACTGTTTGGGGGTGTAGCCTCTATGGCATGTGCCTTTCAACTGCTTCTTCAGCAGCTTGAAAGCACAGGAAACCGCGTGCGAGGACGGGTGGATGCCATCAAGTCCGATTTCTATCTCTGTTTTATAAAAACATCATCCACACAACGGCACAAACTCTGCTGGGGGTTTTCAGAGGCGTGAAGCGGAGCTCTCTGAACTCCCTGCGCTACTGCCGGCCCGAGACGCATCTCCAGCCCCTTTCTCAGCACCTGGGGGGGGCTGCGGCGCTGCTCAGAGGGGCTTCAGGGTCTCCAGGGCCCTCCCTGGGGCTGGGGCAGGGCAAGGAGACACCAAGACTCCTCAGCACGGACTCGGTCCCACCCAAACCTGCCCAAATAAATCGACTGCTCTTGCCCCCGGGTCAGCAACAGTAAGGTTTTATTTCTGAGACTTACAGTTGTCTTTTCCATCTGGGTAAATTCCTGGGTTAGTGGCATGTTTGGGTATGAATTATACAAGAATCCCCCTCCCCAGACCCCTCTGCTCCCCTCCCCGAGACTCCCCCGCTTGCAATGTGGTGCCGCTTTCCAGCGCAAAGTGAGTTGTCCTCTGCAGGAGTCCAAGTGTCCCCCGAAGCCCCCGAAGCTGCAGTGACATCAAGGCGGTGGGTGCGCGTGTGCTGGCTCAGACACGAAGAAGGGGCTCCCATGGCCGCCTAGTCATCCCCCCCGCACAGGGCCAGCAGAGCCTTGCAGTAGTCGCTGGAGGTGTCCTTCTGCAAGAGGGAGACCCGTGTCAGAGAACTCCTACTGGTGCCTGCCCCCGGGGAAGCCCAGTTCAAGGCGCTGGGCACGGGGAAGGCGTAGCTCCGTGCCTTGGCCACCCCACAGGCATCCACGCAGCGCACATGTTGGCACATCCCTTCCACAGCCAGACCTGCCAACGCCGGGGCTGACTGGGGCAGGTTCCCCCTCCTCAGGCAATGCTCAGCCGCTCATGGCACTGCGCACGGCTCGGGTCCCAGCAGGGCTCATGGCCAGGGCTCAGCCAGACAAGGCGACAAGCTGGGGAGGGACACCCGTGTCCCCTCACCTCAATCATGTGGTGCAGTGATTTGTCGAACAGGTCTATGAACTCGCCCCGGATGTTGAGCAGGTCGATCTCGCTCCGGGAAATCATGATCCGGGTGAGGGTCCTCTCATCCGTGCCAGCACCCTGCAAAGGGGAGCTTGAACAAATAACCCTGGAGGGTCTGGGGCTCAGAGACCCTGCTGGCATCTCCAGCCCAGTCCACGCTGGGGATCGGGTCCAGAGGAGGCCACAAAACTGATCTGATGGCTGGAACACCTCTCCTGTGAGGAAAGGCTGACAGAGTTGGCATTGTTCAGTCTCAAGAACAGAAGGTTGCAGGGAGACCTTATTGCAGCCTTCCAGTACTTAAAGGGGGCTTATAAGAGAGACGGGGACAAACTTTTTAGCGGGGCCTGTTATGATAGAACAAGGGCTCATGGCTTCAAACTGAAAGAGGGTAGATTTAGCCTGGATATAAGGAAGAAATTTTTTACACTGAGAGTGGTGAAACACTGGCACAGGTTGCCCAGAGAGGTGGGAGATGCCCCATCCCTGGGAAGACTGAAGGCCAGGTTGGATGGGGCTCTGAGCAACCTGATCCAGCTGAAGATGTCCCTGCTTATTGCAGGGCGGTTGGACTAGATGGCCTTTAATGGTCTCTTCCAACCCAAACCTTTCTGTGATTCTGTGATCTCTCCTTGGACATGTGCTGGGCTTGCTGCCGGCAAGACACTAGCCTACCACATCTCCTGCTAACCCCAGAAATCTGATGCAGCATTGGTTTGAGCTCAGCCCTGCTCCCTTGGGGACAGCTGAGGGACAAACCCCATCACTGCCATGGGGTTAAATCAGAGAGTCCCAAAGGGCGTCTGCCCAGCAAAGCCCCCTCCCGCAGCCCAGCCCCAGGAGAGCCCATCTGCACCTTCATGGACTTGTAGAGCTTGTCAGCAAAGAAGGCTGGCTTGTTCTTCACGCTCCGGACTGCAACACAGAGGGGAGACAAAGTGAGCTCCTGGCTCATGGCACCCAGAGGACGTCACAGCAAGGAGCTGTGCCACCCATCGGGTCAGCTGCAACCCCTCCTTGGTGTAAGGGTGCAGGCTTGGCCCCATAGGATGCCCAATAAATGCCCTAACCCCACGCCGTGCTGGGAGCCTCCATGGCCCAA